TCCCTCTACAATGTGCCTTTGGGTCTCAGACTCTTGTCCCGGGAGTCCCTCTGAATCCACCTCAGATTTTAAGAGGATGGGGCTGGGCCACTCGGCTGAGGTCTGGCCCTGTTCTCCTCATCCGCCAAAGCCTCGCAGTACTGTGCTGGCCAGTCCTTGGGGTCTTGATTATGGACTTTGGCCACAAACTTAAGAACTTTCATCTTGCTGGTTTCCAAGTTGGTTCGTGGGCCCCACTGGAATTCGTAGTCCACGGGGTCGGTGTGGGGTATCCGCCGGTACTCCAGGTAACGCTGTCGCACAAAGTCCTCAGTGATGAGTTTCTTTGGATCTCCGAAAACTAAATGCTTCTTGGTAGGGTAGACCCCTAGCCGCCGCAGAAAGTCCCAGACTTCAGTCTCCTTGATGGTGTTGCCCTTCATAAAGATGAGCCCTAAGACGATCATCAGGAGGCCCGTGGTGGGCGTGCCTTGGTCGCCCCTCACCTCGGCATCCTCCTCCACGGGCTCCAGGGTGTTGATGAGGATGTAAGTGTTGCTCTTGGGTTCAAGTTCCACCAGCTTGTACCCGAAGACGTACTGGAGGCGCTCGGCGGCCAGTGTGAGGAGGTCGGAGAAGATGTCCTTGTAGTCCCCGACGACGTGCTTCAGTATGTCGGCTCGCTTGATCGGAATTTTCTTCTGGTCCTTAATCAGCAAGAACTGCACCAGCTCGGACACTTTCAGCTCCAGCTGCTTCTGGGTCCTGGGCCCCACGGCGGGGGCGGCCAGAGAACGGCGGGCGCCCTGAGGCGAGGAGCCCCGCGCCCCCTGCGAGCCGCCCGGCCCGCGGGACGTGCTCGGGGCCTCCTCGGCAACGCAGTCTCTAGGGGCCCGGGCGTCTCCGCCTTGGCTCGAATCTCTGACACTCTCGGTGTGGCCGCTAGAACGGCCCCGGTTCCTCGGTTTTTGCAGCATGTTACCCGCGCCGGCCGGCGGTCTCCGGGGCAGATTCCCGCGGGCAAACACTGCGGCCTGCAAGCAGCCGCGGCGGGAATTGTGGGTCGACGCAGAGAGCGGACGCCAGGCCCTGGGCGGGGCCATAGGAGGGGCACGCGGCGTCGGCGGAGACTGCGCGCTGCGTCACTAAGGCTGCGCCTTGCGTCAGTAAGGCTGCGCCTTGCGTCGCGGCGGCTGGACGGTGCGCCTGCGCGGCTGCCGCGGGTACAAAAACAAGCAGCGTTGTTCTGTGCATCCTTCCTGGCTCGGGCGATGATTTTTGGTAGAGTGAAGTGTTCTTACCAAACCATGCAAGCGGAGAACGAGACCCAAAACCCCTAAACAAGTGTGTGGCTAAATTCAGGACCACACAGGCTCAGGCAAGTTTTACAGACAGTATGATGCGTTTCTAAATCGGGAGCATTTGTAAAGATCTCAAAGATCAATGTGTGGAAAAAAAGAAAAAAGAAGAGGAAGGTACGGCCGTGGAAGTAAAGTAAAAGCATTTATTTCTACACAAAACGTGGGAGGACATAAAAAGCCCCAAGTGTTCTTAGTTTTCGTCCTTCTGCCCAATTTCATACCCTCCAACCCATTACTCCCAGTTACTTTCTCTAATGCCTTGGGGAGTCTGTTAAAAACCAAAGTCTGCGGCAGGCTTTCCTCGCAAGCAGGACTTCGGTTTCACTATTTCCGTATTTACATTTTTTGCATTAAACTCTAGTCAACTATGAGAAAACAACACACAACGTCAATATTAAGTAAATGTTGTAGCTTTGTCAAGTGAGTTTATCTTTTGGAAAACATCACTGCTTTGGGCTCACAACCACAATTTTAGCAGAAATGAGTAAGAGGTATGCTGCAAACAGAAACATGCACCCTCAAGATTACCATTTAATTTTGGGCATCACTAATCAAAAATTGCAATAATGTGGATCTCTTAAATTTCTTAATTCGTAATATATTAGCTTTAAAGAAAAGAGAACACTGGGGTACCATCCCTCATAATCTGTGATGTGTGCAGTCTCTATATTTTAAGTGTGCAACTCAAGCAGCCAAAATGAGTCATTTCATTAACTGAAACCATCAGCAGTCTGCTGCCACTACTTCTAGAGATCTTAGCACATGTGTTTCTTCTCTATTTATTGACTTGCAAAGAAGCAGCTGAATTTCCCTGTCTTTTTAAAGCTACCCAGAAAGTGGATAAACTCTTTAAAGAACCAAATCAAATTGATTTCCTCTTTAATGCAGATATATTCAGAAGAAAGCAATTTCAAATATATTCAAAGAACACATTATCTGAATAATAGCATCAAACACAACCTTTTTTTTTTTTTTTTTT